ACTCAGATATTCCAGCATCACTTTTGCAATAATAAAATCCACAGCTGATGAACGGTATTCCAATATAAATGGAAAGATCGTATTTGTTCGACAGATGATATTTTTTTTTGCATTCAACACAGATTGTTTGTTATCACGAAAGACAGCTTCAATTCACAGTCATGGTGCTCAGTTGCATTCAAAACTAGCGACGCAACCAATAGAAGAACAAACAAAATAGCTGTCGACATGACTAAGTAACAACATACAACATAATGCAGTTTATGAGGAAACATAGAAACTCAGTAAATGCGGAAAAATAGAAAGTACAATAAAATACAAATATTATCATCTGAAAGAGAATCGAACATTTTAACTATATATACCACTAAAGGAATAAATAAAGACGAATCGCAAACGTATACATGTAGGGATTTTCACACAAAAGCCTTCCAGAAATCGATCCTACACTCACAACGGTAATGTTGTTCGCTGAGTTCCTAAATTATGATAAACATCCTAATGAAACTATGTGACCTTTGATTGACAAGTGATAATAACTGTTCCTTAAAAAAATCTGTTCTCTGTTAATTTATTCATTTGAATAACACCTCTCAATTTCGAAATTCGAAGAACAAAATTGTGTAATGAGTAAATAATAATTGTAATTTTATCTGTAAGAAACATTTTTATTTTCTGAATAATAAAATTTTCTAATTTTTTTCTCTATTGAAATACAATAATTCATGTTTACTTCACCAAGTGATTTATTCTGTGAAATTTATAGAAAGTTGATGAAATACATTCAATTTCATTATGATTATGTCACTGAAACATTTCAAAAAAAACTACACTACAAAAGATGTCAATCTTACTTGATTATAACGTGAACGCAGCGCAAATGACAACTATAAGCATTCATTTTATTTTCATTGAGTGACATCACAAAAATAAATAAACTTGAAATATTCAGAAAATAATTCATGCTTCCAATTTCCAAGTATTATCACATGTTCACTGGTTAAGAAAACTATATTTACAAATGAGATACAGGATCTATTTTTTTCAACTCAGAGTTTTTCATTATTAATTTGGTCCAAAGTTTAGTGATAACCTAATAATTTGACAATCAATGTTACGAAGTAATTGGTGTATGGGGTTATAAATATCAGTGATTATATTGAATTGTGTTAACTAAACTCTGGAGAAGTCTTATGTGAGTTTGTATATTTTCACAACATGATGTCACTGGGGCTTTAATTTTTATGATTTGATTGTGGAACTAAACTGAACTGTATCTATTCCTTGAATATCGACAAATATGCAAATAGATAGGAAGAGAGGCAGACATGTTTTTAGAAAAGTAGATATGTGAGTAGATGGATAGACAGTGAGTTATAATTGTGACCCGTCGTCGAAAGCTATCAGCTTACAACGGACAAAAAATACATCAAGATCAGTCTACTTTTCGGACGTCTAAAACATGTTCATGATTCCGTATTCGTCAATTTACCGTCTACAGTGAAAGAAAAGAGTATAAAAAATAAATTTTAACATTTTTATGTAATCGATTTATTTGCTTGTCATGGTTCTTGGTAATTAACATTTCAGCCAATTGACTGGAAGATGGAGTTCATGATTTTATCCTATCTCAATATTTCAACCATGATGATATGGGCATTCGGTGCAATGTCGAAAGAAAATAAATATAGTGTCTGTAACAGTACAAATGCGTGTATGTAAGTAGTTGACGTTAATTTAAAAATCACCATTTCCCTCACAGATTTAACGCAACTGCATGGAGCGATCTACCTCGCATATATGGTGTCATTTTAATGTAAGTCATGAATAATGGAAAACTTCGAAAATATGATTTTATACATTGTTATTGTGTATAATCCCTTGATCAGAGAAATCAACTATGATTATTTAATCAATGTTGAATCCTTCAAAGAAATCATAATGAAGGTATCTCGGTAGTAGGGTTTTGCATTTTTGATGAGCGACTTACATTCGATCAACAAGAACATCATTTTTCGGTTGATCTCATTGTCGAATCCTTCGATTATCTTTTAAACTTATCTATAGAAAAATGTTTTTCATCTTCATTACTGACCAGATTTCGCTCATCTATTTTACGGTGAACTGACTCGTACTATGTTCAGTGTGCACTTCAATTTTCTTAACTTGTACATTCTATTTTTATACTTCAGAGGTATGGCTTTAATAATGGCACTCATCATTATACTCCTCAAAGCGTTACACACCGCATCTACACTGAATAACATCATTATGTTTATAACGGTTAGTTGAATATTATTTCAAATGGTGTGTACGATTTTGTATATATTTCCACTGAGTTTCCAGAAATTTGATTTCGATTGCATAGACCTCAGGAACCACTCGAACATACAGAATTATGGATATGCTTATGTTAGAATATCAAAAGACTCAGAGTCATTCAGTAGTCAGGGGTAGATGTGCACTCGCTGATAGATATATGACGGTGATAAGTGGAGTTTGTCTCAGTGGAATCTGTATAAAATGATGGAATCGTGATAGAGTTACCATTTGCATTGCGGTTGTGATAATGTCGACTCACACAAGTCTCCAACTAATTTCATTCCATGCTTTTGAATTTATATTTCCTCCGTTTACGTGGATAGATTTCAATGCAGAAAGAGTTAACTTGAGTAAAGTGCTTGATCAGTTATTTGTAAGTAATGTTTATTATTGTTAACGTGGTCAGTAATGCGTATACTATAAGCTGACATGTTTCTTGTTTACCTTCCAGTCGATTGATATGATTGTCGGCTATGGATTATTGACTGGCTTTGGTGATGATTATCAGCAGGTCATTGCGCCAATTGTGCCAGTCGCAACACTGATCTTTGCAATTATATCAGGTCTAAGAATGAAAGGATCTTCAGGCAAATTGAGGCAAATACTATTTTTATTTTTCTTGGTATTGTTGATAGCTGCAATTGTCTTCAGCATTTTAAGTATAATTTGCAATGACGATAATAAGTATGATGTAAGTTTTCCTTAGTGTATCAACTTCAATTTGTCAAAAGTGATCACTGATATGAATTTGTATGTGAATTATGAATGTCACCTAGTAACTGACCAGTATAAAATATACACAACAACGAATATTTTCCACATTTATCTGTTGTGTTATAAGTGATAAGTTATCAAGTTTATTTTTTGCATAAAATGATATTTTGACGATTACTGTAAATATATAGTTATAGTGACAAGGTAGTGCTTCTTCTGTTAGCAGATAACCACGCGATTATGATAAATCTGCACTAGTGCTGTAATCATTTCATCAAATCATCATTAGGCATCTTAGTTACAGTCACTAAAAGGAAAAATCTATTGAATGAAAAGTACAAATATTTGTTGTTAGACCAATGAACACGAACAACAAGCAGAATTGCTTGGTATCCCTATTATGAACACAAATCTTACTAAACTGTGACCTGACACAATGTATGCTCACATCAGTCATTATCTTAATTATTGAATTATGTTTAACTAATGCAAACAAAATATTCACAAAATAATATGAAATGAAAATTTGTTACAGATTATGTATGCAGTTCTGTCTGCAATTCTTTGGTTCGTTTCAATGTTCATCGTAAGTTTCTGATGATCGATTGAATTTTTATTGATATATAAAAATATATTCATTTCTCTCCCAGTTCATTTTGAAGCGAGAAATATCATACTACATACTGAACCGAATAATTTCGAATACCTACAATAATTAATCATAATAGATGTTTGAGTGGAACGTCAGCAGTTCCAACAAATTCAGAAGAATGCTTGTAAATGAGATGGTAACTTGTGAATGATCTGAATGGTTATTTAGAGGGTTTATATTATTTTAGCATGTGAGTCATTGTACACTCACTCCGTCAGTGTATATTCTCAATATAAAACGTGTTTAATTTCTTCATTTATACTCAGACTAAAAATGACTGTTTTTACAATTACAGATGGTTACATTGACTACGTACTATTTGACAAAACACGTCAAATTGGAAGACTACACTGTAGTTTATATGACTTTTATACTTTTGATGGAATATATGATAATGTTGATTATTTCATATCTTCATGTAAACTATTTTTATTATTGTTGCTGTCATCAAATGCTTTCGATTCGACTTAATTATGGGCAATAATCACAAACTGATTGTTATTCTTAAAATACTTTGATGAATATAAACGTGTTCTTGATAATTTATTGAGAACATTTTTCATGTCATCAACGATTGGAATGCGATAAGATTATTCTCTGTGTTTTTTTTGAATTGAACTGCTAATAATTCCACAATTTCAAATTATTATAACATCAAATGTCCACTTCAGGTTTATTTATATTTGATCTAAATTGACGTCATCCGGAGATTTTAAGACTAGAATATCAAAATGATGATGACATCATTTGGTCGACTGCTTCTCTTATTGATCATGAGATTGTCTCGCTGAAGTCGAGTACATGTTTAATACAGTACGTTTAATTTTGATCTGAGAATTCCAGATAATACAGCAAGGCTGTTGCTAACGATCCTACACACTCACCACTTTTCAAAACCTGGATTATTTGAAGACTACATTTTGAGTAGATGAAATCGCAGGGAACAGTCCTGGTTTGTGCATATGCCTAGTCACGCGAATGTTGTGTGTTTATATGCGAATCGCATGGGCGGAAGTATGTGAACTGTTCAATGTAAATCTCGCACAAATGAATAACGCGAGACTGAGTTCAAAAATTTAAACCTTATAAAGGTAAACAGGTATTTCAACATAACATAACAAGCAGGAACCACTTAAAACGTTAACAGTGTCTATGAATGACGATCAACAATATTCAGATGTCGATAGTTGAAAAGCTTGCATATAATTATCGATTGCAGTATGTCAATAAAGACTGTTTTCAATTCCTGGTCTTCTAAATATAGCGTGTTTTATTTTGTGTGATTCAGGGTTAATTTAATCGGTGTGTCATTATCATATAGTCGAGCTTTCCACCAGTTCACATAAACGTTCAGACTCTCATTTCATTACAAATATAAGAATGTGTAAATCGGAAATTTCATCCATTGCCTGCAAGATACATAGTGTGTATATAGAGATGAATATCACTGTCACAGATAACAAAATACAAACACTTGAAGAATTATATCATTAGTAGTTGTTTGATATCACTTGAGCACTTTAAATTGAAATGGTTTTATCGTTAAAACTAAATGCAGTATGTGTCCCGACGCTCACGCTGTTTACAAATGCATAAGATTTTCAGCACTCACAATTCAAAACCGATGGCCTCTCACACGTAATGTGGGTACATGCCTTATCTACTTCAGTAAATGACATATTGTCAATGAATATGATCCAACAAAGCAATGTATTGTCGACATGTATGAGATGAAGCATCACACTCTGCTGCCGCATGATTTATCAGCCATAAGCTTGATTGATAAACCTAGTCTGATGACTGGTTGTAAATTATCGAATCACTGAACAGTCAAGCTTGCTTAGGAATGATTCTAGTATGGTTAGGATCGAAAATTGTCAAAATGGTGTTTTCAGCTCTTTTAGGTAGCGTGCCTGATTCGAAGTCGATAAGATTAGTATGTTTTAGGTCTCTCCTGTTCAAGTAGTACCGAGCGTAAATGGTAGATCAAACTATAGGTGGTAATAAAACGATGTCACGAATCGTTCTATTGAAATATACTCTTTAGATCGGTCTGAACGTGCTGTGACGGAAAGAACTTCACTGTTCTTTGGATTGAGTAATAACTGTCTGGGTGGATAAAACACGTGTCTTGACCCAGTTAAAATCGAAAACAATGGATTTGATTAAATCACGTTTTAGATTCTTTCGATAGGAAATACTTGTTTGCTATGAACACAGATTATTTCGTATTTTAGAAGACTGCTTCAATTCACAATCAAGATGTCTGATTTCATTCAACGCAGGCGACATCACCAAAAAAGGACAAATCAATACAGTGATCGTCATGACTAAATATCAACTTTAACAAAGTACTTGCATTTCATAGAGAAATATGGGATTACATTTAATAAAGTGATTAGGTTTGTGAAATTTATAAGTTTCGTATAGAAAATGTCATTCATACAATTTAAAAACTTCACTACAAAATATGTCAATATTAGTTTATTTTAACTTTCAAAAAGAACACATTAAAACTATAGGCATCCATTTTATTTCATTGCTTATTTTCATCTACTGACATGACGAAATAAGTAGTAGGATGCAATCAGTAATATTTCTTCATTCCCGAAAACTCATCAATGTATACAAATGAAAGTAGTGTTCAGTGAGGACGTTTATGTGTTAAATAATATGAAAAATTGTAGAGTAAAGTAGGCGAAAATGCAATAGTATAGTCAAAGTAATTTTGTTGTTATGTTTTCTCACAAGCAAAATAAAAAAACACAAGTGAACGAGATGAAATAATTGAGTAAAGTGTTATTTAATTAATTGTTTTTTTGCATTCACGCTATCCACTCACAAAATATGATACTTGAGAATCAAAATGATTGGGAAGTGTACATACATATAACAGAAAACACAACATCGTTGAGCAATGATATTCAAATGTGTTGTGAATAAATATGATGGTTGGAAGCTCATGGATCATCATACATTATCGCAAACGGCGAATAAGCAGCCTATTGTATTTTGCAACCCAATATACTTTTATTAATTCTTCTCGTGTCAGTCAGGATTTCTCATCATTATTTGTTTTATGGTCTTCTTTTTTTCTCCATTTGAGGTTCCCTAGTGAGGGCATGACATGTGACTTAGTTCGCTTTCCGAATTTAGTGTCTTATTAGCTTCCACAGCGTCCCCATAATTTCCTCCGACGGAATCTGGTTTGTTTACCCTCGCAGGCAGTAGCTGCTGATGGTTTTCGGCAAAGACAACTTGTAATGAATACATGTAGCCTCTGATTGATGACTTCAGTGAATCCTCAAGTAATCTCTATACAACTATATCGACCTTTGTATTCAAAACTTTGACCTTGGTGTTGGTTGAAATTTTTTTTAGTTGCAGATGTTGTTGAATTGCAGAAGCGCAACCCGTCTTGTCGATCAGCATCTGAACATCGGCTTGATATCCTCCTTGCTCGTCGATGATGCTGAATAGATGAGTCAAGGATATTACAATATTTAAAGCCTACTCGTCACGTGTTGTTTGTATGATGCTTCTTCTATTGCATGGTAGAATCTCACATTTGCCAATGTATTTTCTGAGATCTGCTGCTAGAGCTGTCGCTACTCTGTTTGTCTTCTCCTACATATGTTGTTGCGTGAACTAGATAACATCCAGCTTATTTCTACAGTCAAGATCATCCGCTCAGTTATTTAGTCCGACATAAATTTATCAAAATTAGTGTTAAAACAATAAACTTATTGCTGATTGCACTGTCTGGACGAAATTAGTTGAGATTATTGAGTTTAGGAATAAAATAATCAATTTGAAAGATATGATGCAATCAAAATTGAAGAAATACTTCAAACGAAGAAAATTTCAAAATATGGTTAAGTGAGGTTGTTAGTATCAGTAAAGTGTACAAGATGGGTTCCTCAGACACCTCTCAACTATCGTTATTATAATTCAGATTATTATTATTACGCGTGGTTTTGTCTTAGTTTATTGCAGTCAAAAATTGTTTGGAATCATCTCTGTTGTACTGTGGATTGAAACTGGCATTTTTTTCAAATTACCTCTTTCTATTGTCCGTTTTCTGACAATTGAAGATATGTTAGGCGTTTTCAGTGAACGGTCATCATCTTCAACTAGATAGCGATATGTAATGATGGAAGTGAACCGATTATAAACAATAGGAACATTGTGGAAATAGAATGCATAGCTAATATTTCAACATCGTCCGAGAGTTCGCGCCTACAAAGGACGAATAGCAAATAGTATAGTGAGACAATCATTCGGCTATGAATAATTCTAATAAACCTAACGTGTTCTCTCTAATAAAATGACAATACTTCAGATACTTCAACAAACGTCTTTTAAACATATGGGTCACTGGATTGATTAGTATGAGTGAAGTTTTCAACATTACGTCTGTGAATTTCACTCAACTGTTATTAATATTGTATTAGTCAATATTATTGCTGGTATTATTGTCTTCGAATATTGTAATCAACACAGATAAAATATGTTCAACTGAGAATTGCTACTTGTTATTAACCGATAAAGCTTCTTATATTCACCGTTTTCAAACAACCAGTAATATCTGAACTTACGTAGGGCGTATCTATCTATCATGATGTTCAAATGAAAGATGATATAAAATAACCACATTGAATAATAGTGAAACCTTTGAACGTTTTTCATGTAGAATACAGAACAAATATTTCATTAGCATACTGTGTAATTATATGAGTGACACATTTTGTGATTTCAAAGTTCTCAAAAAGTGAACTTTGAATGTCTGTTAAAATAATTCCATCACAGTGGCAACTATATATTTTTGTAAATTATCCTATAAAAAGATAATTCATTGATGATATTTCTAATAATTCGATTGTGCGTATGCATCCATGCTTACTCGCTTATCACATGTCTTGCCTATTTTTTCCGATTATTAATGCTTAGTCATAGTTCAGCGCAGAACAGTTGGCTCGTTCTCCTTCCCACATTGTGCGTTTTTTGTTCTCATCGCCGTCTGCCTCAATGTACGATAATCTCTGACGAAACTAATCGTATTTCTACTGCAAGTAAACAACAACGCAAAACGTTTTATGAATATGTGACTAGAATATCGCATCTTTTAAGCCATGGCGATAGGGAATCCAATCCATTAAACAGCAGTAAGTAGTCAGGCTTCACTACGAACAGCATTACAGTTAAACTTGCTGACAAGCGTCAAGTGATTGAAAACCTGGTATCACTTTTCCTTGCTAGCTAACCAAGATCATCACTACACACAAATTTGAACAAGATCATACTTATGGTGTTATAAGATCTGACGATAAGGACCATCATATAACTAAATGCACAAAGTAATAAGAAGCGACAAGCATTCTTAAAGTTTGCTTGATATCTGACCTAATATCTACACTATCTCATTTGATATATAAGCTTGACAAAATGATAAGGTAGTTCATCGTTTTTTTACGTGTTCATCCAT